GTTTTGGTATAGTCCCTATATAACGGTACCTCCCGATGCAACATTTTTTCACGAATTTGTCTGAAAATTGCTATTTCTAGGTCATAATGGGTTCTAGCTCCTTTGGCGAAACATTGCATGTGTAGGTCCACGATTTGGTATAGCCCCATATTCGGCATTTTGATGGTTTTTGCCACATTTCTTCTAATGTTTCCTTTACCCTAAGGTGGAGGGTATTAAAAGTTTGGCCCGGCCGAACTTAATGTTTTTTTTTACTTGTTTTCTTATATATTAATCATTGTAGGGCACTTTAAATTTTCGGTAGTTTGATGGTTTCGGCCACAATTTCCAACCAAATCAGCTGCAACTTAGGGTTTAGCATTTCTAATAACTAGTTTGTATGCGTGCAAAAATATTCAAAATAGGTCCCTCTTTTTGTTATGGCCCCATGTATCATTATTTCAAATGTTCAGGCTCTCAGTTGCTAGGTAACTTTAAAAACAAGTAAAAAACAATAAGTTCGGCCGGATTCTCCACCTTAGGGTAAAGAAAACATTTTTATATAAAAGTATCTGAATTCAAGCGTGTTTCAATTTAAACTTTTTTATTAGCACATTTTAACACGAGTTTCTTATATTTTATCATTTTCTGGCAATAGGCCGAATTTGTGAGATTTGTCAAAATTCGTCCATCCGTTCTTGAGTTATAAGAGGTCCCCTTCTTAACATGTAATATTGCATATATTTTGCTATATGTATATGCGATATCTTGGATATGAGCATCAATGTAACTGTCAGAAGAGGCATTATCGTGAATTTGTGATTTCGCAACGATTAACAAGTAAAAAAGCTGTAAGTTCGGCTGTGCCGAACTATGAATACCCTCCAGCATTTGAAAGGAATTTGGCAATTTTCAAAATAATAAAATCCGTTAAAAATTCTATCAAAATCTTAAAAATACCTGCATAGGGAACTTTTGACATAACACAATACTATATTCAAATGTGAAACTTAAAGAAATCGGTGAATAATGAAGCTAAATCATCAATATAAGGAGGTACTAATATATGGAGGCTATACCAAAATGTGGATGTGCACAGACAATTTTCTGCCTTAGGCTGCCGTATCCATTACGAACTTCAAATAACAAATTTGAAACAATTTCGATGATAATGTCCCTAAAATCATCAAAATACCGAATATAGGGAGGTATCGTTATATGGAGGCTATAGGATGTATTATCCACAGCGTTCAGAAATAAACAGTACACAAACATAGTCTTCTGTACCGGTACAGTATCACTAAAAAAATATTTTAGTGATACTGTACCGGAACACAACGATGATCGTTGTCGGAGCGCTAAAAAATCGTAGTGTACCGCAGTCGGAACTGGAAGAATATTGTTAAGATGAAAAATTTGGTTTGGAAATGCGTTCAGAAAGCGTACGAAAGGTAATACATTTGATATTGCGTGAACGGATACTGCCGGTACTAAATTGTATACCCTCCACCATACTATGGAGGGTATATTAACCTTGTCATTCCGTTTGTAACTCCTCGAAATACTCATGTAAGACCCAATAAATCGACATAGAATGTCTGTCTGTTGTAATCACGATATCTTTCGAACGAATCAAGATAGAAGGCTAAAATTTCGCAGACATGTTTATTTTGCCAGTAGGGAGGTTTTCATATAGCCCCCATACAACGGCACCTCCCGATATTCGGTATTTTGATGATTTTAGCGACATTATTCACCGGAATTGTTTCAAATTTGGTATTTGAAGTTCGAAAGGGATACTACACCCTAAGACAGAAAATTGTCTGTGCAGGTCCACGTCTTCGTACAGCCCCCATATAAAGGCACCTCCCGATATTCGCTATTTTGATGATTTTAGCTACATTATTCACCGGAATTATTTCAAATTTGGTATTTAAAGTTCGTAATGGGTTCTACAGCCTATGATGAAATTTTTTGTATGCAGGTCCACGTCTTCGTATAACCCCCATATATTTGCCTATTTTACACTTAGCATGGCAACCCTAAAACCTAATGCGGTTTTCATTTAAGTGGTAGTTTTCGGAATTTTTTGAAATTGTTCAAGTTCCTGCGAAATGATGGAGGGTATTATAAGTTCGGCCCGGCCGCTTTTTTACTTTTTATATTTGGGAAAGGGATTGAGTTGGAGGAAGTCTGAAATTTGGCATTAGGATCACCTTTTGTGTGGTTTGGTTGCCATGTATGATGGAAAAACATACTAAAAAGTACGAAAAGTATTGAATAGTATAACATTTTGTGTTTTTGGGGGGGAATAGAGCTGGAAATCTGAAGCTTGTTGATTTAAAATTTTCACCATTAAAGAGAGAGTTACCAGAGGGAGTGGGCGAAAATTACACCTGACCTAAGTCAAATATTATTTTGTGTCAGGCTTGGACTATACCGACTATTTCCTTGAACAATTGTAAACTTTTTTAGGGGAGGAACAAAAAAATGGACCATTTTATTTTCAATTTGACAAAAATATTGGATTGCGCAAATTTAATCAAAATAATTATCAATTACCTATTGGAGTGGACCGGCACTTCCCATATTTCACTAGAAATGTGGTGGGTGGTAAAATATTCAAATATTTGAAATATGACTGACTCTTTTGGGGGTGGTACCAGAAAGGGTGAAAAAATTTTGTCCAGTTTCCTATCGTAGCAAAGCTGATTGAAATATAAAGATGTGCAAAGTTGGGACGAAATTGGATACCTCTACTGCTTCTTATAAGGTACAAGAAGCTTGAAGAAACTGAGGGAGCCACAAGAAGCTTATTACGATGTATTCAATTCGTACGAATTCGGACACACCTTCAAGAATTATAGTGCACACATAGAAACAGAGAGTAGAAACGGATTTCTTCCACATATACCTGAGGTTAACGATATACATTTTGACCCATTAAATGCTATATACTCAAAGTATATACATATATATATATATATATATATATATATATATATATATATATATATATATATATATATATATATATATATATATATATATATATATATATATATATATATATATATATATATATATATATATATATATATATATATATATATATATATATATATTATATATATATATATATATATATATATATATATATATATATATTTATATATATATATATATATATATATATATATATATATATATATATAAATATTTAAATATATATATATATATATATATATATATATATATATATATATATATATATATATATATATATTCTAAATCGATTTAGCCATGTCCGTCTGTCTGACAGAGGGATCACGCTATCTTTCGAACGAATTGAGACAGAAGGCTAAAATTTTGCACACGTGTTTATTTTTCCAGTAGGTTAGTTTCGTAAATGGACCATGTAGGTCCACGTTTTCATATAGCCCCCATATATAAGTACCTCCCGATATTCGGTATTTTGGTGATTTTAGCGACATTATTAACAGTATTTAGAGTTCGTAATGGAAACTACAGTCAGAAAATTGTTTATGCAGGTACAGGTCTTCGTATGGGCCCCATATATCAGTACCTCCCTATATTCGGTAGGTACAATACATACTGAAATTTTTTGAGATGTCGTATTTGAAGTTCGTTATGGATGCTATAGCCTGCGACAGAAAATTGTCTATGCTGGTCCAGGTCTTCGCACAACTCCGATATAACCGTACCTCCCTATATAAGATTTGATAATTTTAGCTACATTAATCAACATTTATTTCAAGTTTCGAATTTCAATATGGTAATGGCTTATGACAAACAAGACCTGTGTATGTCCATGTCGTATAGAACCCAATATAACAGTTATATTCGGTATTTTTTAAATTTTAACAGAATTTTTTAAGGACTTTATTTTTTGAAAACTTTAAATTCGCTCCAAATGATGGAGGGTATTCAAAGTTAGGCCTGGCCGAACTTACTGCTTTTTAACTTGTTCAATATTTTATGAAAAAAAATGTTTGAACGATTTTCATTTTGGTATATTCGGTAGTCACTATTCGAGTAAATTCGAGAATAAATTTCTTTCGAAATTAAAGTGATTGCACTCGTAAAACGGCCCTCTTATTTACTGATTACATTTTAAGTGCAAACGTATAAAGTTGTTACATAAATTGCCATTCGACTTCTGTATTACACGAAATCTGACATCCGTCGGCTTTATATTCTATTACGTTATTTTGCGAAATTTCGATAAAATAAAATAATTCTTAAGTAAAAATGTATATGAATTTTCCCTCAGCTATACAAGAGTATGTATTCCGATTGTATCTTGAAACCAGAATGACCAGATTGGAATTTCTCTTTTGTCCGAACAAAACAAATATTCCCTAATGGGGTTGTTCTGATACAAATCGATGCTTGTCTAATGTTAAAAGAGCAAGAAATACCGTATATATCTTTCTCTCGCTCTCTGCTATGCATTTCTTTGTCTGAAACTTGTTTGAATGTCAGCACCAGAAACAACAACAATGCGATAACAAAAACCCTCAATATGTCGTGCATAAGAGGGTAACACTGTGTGTTCCGTTACTTCTCAATAATGGTTGCCTAAAATTTCTTTTCTCTTTTTCTCCAATGTAGCGTACTCTTTCTATGGCCATTTACTCGTTGGTTTGTAACTAGTTGTCGATTGCTGGGAGATATGTTCTTCCTTGTCTGACAAACGACCATGGTTGGAGTACCGAGTTTTTTATTTCTCCCCGCGAGTGGCGGTTTTCTTATCAGAATCTGTAATTCTCACAGAGAGACAAACACAGCGGAGCATGTTGGAACTCTATTATTATTGTTAAGTATTATGCTTTTGTTTCGTCTTATCTCTTGTTGTGAGCGTGATAAGACCACTCGTCACTGTTGTGTTGTCGTTTCCAATGCACACAATATTGATGTTGTTGTTGTTGTTGGTGTTCTTTGGCCTCAGTTTTTCCCCGGCCGAGTAGTGCTGGGTTGTGCGCCGTATTCTTACACTTTGCTCTGATTTCATTTCTAGTATCTCTTGCTACCCCGCGCCAAACGATTCACAAGCGGCGGCGGCCAGCCAGTTGTCATTGTAGCCTCTGCACAAGCATTGATGTTGTGCCACGGTAAAAGAAATAAACGCTTCTTGTTGTGTCTCTCTGTAAAAGCCAAAAACGTTTAAGGCAATTTCCCGCCGTTGTAATGCCATACGAAACGTCATATTGGTAATTCGTTGTTTTGCCTTGTACGCCTTCTCCAGAAATATCCAACAGCAGCGAGTGGATTTGTATGGCTAGCTGGAAAGCTTTGCCTCGACGTAACAAAAAGAGGAAAACAACATAGACTCCAGGAAAAAGGGGTGGTAAATACCCATAACCGCCCTCTAAATCTTCTGCCGCTGTAGCTGTTGCTGACGTCGCCGTCGCCGTCCCTCTCTATAATGGTGGTTGCTGTTTGCTGCTGGATATTTATGAACATCGTTGTGTCTTAGGCTATGTGTGAGTGTGTGTGTGTGCGTGCTAAGTGAATATAGATTTTTTTTGGGTATCTCCGGCGGGCGGCGCGTTTCCGTTTTCCCAGCCTGACTGCATTGTCATTCGTTTATGGTTACTCGTAAAGCAGACAACAGACAAAACAAATACCGCTCGTTTAACCTCATTACCAATCAATCCCCATCAGAATTGATACAACAATCCGTGGGCCACCACACATCAGACGCTCGGAACAAAAGTCACTCAGTCAGTTAGTCCGCCAGTTAGCTAGTCTAGTCTTGTTAGCGAAATTGCCATCATTTTGGATTCACTCTCTGTCTCTGTGTGTTGTCGCCTGTCTCCTCCGTGTGTAGATCAAAGCGAACGAAGCTCATTCATTCTAATTACCCCCGGCTGGATTAAATTATTAAAACAGTTAAGCCGTCGTGGATTTGGACTCCAAAGCTTTTTAAGTTAATAACAACAACAACAACAACGACAGCAGCAGCAAAAAAGAAAATACAAAAAATAAAATAGCAACAAAAACAAACAAGTTTACAAAAAAAAAAAAAAAAAAATTGTGCCGCGATTAAGTGATTATGAATCACAATTCCCCAGCAGCAGTGAAAGTGTGGTGAAAACAAAAGAAAAACCCCAAAACGAAATCAAATTGAATTAAATTGAATAACAAAAACAAAAACCATGCAAACGAATAAAACAAATCAAAACACAAATCAATAAATCGTTGAAATCCTTTTTTTTTTCAAATATTGGATAAAAATCATCTGCAATAATTTGCTGTTTATTGAATAACTTTAAAGCCGGCGTAAAGAAAATTCCAACAATTCACTAAAACGAAATTCTGCTAAACGTCAATAACTCAAACAAAATTCCAAAGAGATTAAACAAGGCGTTGGGTCATAAAAATCAATCATTAACCGGCCATAAAATAAAACATTAAATATTTAAAAAATATATGCAAAACAAAAGTCATAAAAATTTAACGCCAACGCCTTCTCGTCTTCTCTGATTATAGTTCTTCTTCTGCAAGGAGACTATAGCTGAAAAAAAAAGAATTTTTGGAAAAAAGTGTAAAATCGTGTAAAGAAAGAAAAAAAAATAGAAGTGGATTAAAGAAGAACAAAAAAAAAAAAACACAAGAAGCTACATTAATCTTTTGTAGAGAACACAAGAAATACATTCGAAAAGGTGAGCTAAATTTTGTAATATATTTTATGTGTTTGGAGACGACAGTGTTTTCAATATGTTTTTTGGGGTCCCTAAAAAAGTTCAAAGTTCATCTAGACATTTGTTTTTTTTTTTTGTATTAATGATTTATGGCAACATCTTACCTTTATTTTTTGTGTTGAGTGGAGATTTATTGTGTAGTGCAGAGATTAGTGGGTTCACTTTCATATATATGGAAATTTGATATTTTTCCCATTGCGATAGGTGTCCGGCCGGCGGGAATACAAATTCACTATAACTGCATATTTCATTGCCTGCAAAGGAAAAAATGTATTTTAAAAAAGGGTCCTTAAAGTGAAAAAATTGAAATAAATCTGATAAGTTTTTTCCAGTATAAAAAGCTAGATTTTAAAAAAAAAATAACAAATAAAAAAGCTGTAAGTTCGGCCGGGCCGAACTTTGAATACCCTCCTCCATTTGGAACAAATTTGGAAATTTTCAAAAAAAATCAAATCCGTTAAAAATTCTGTTAAAATCTTAAAAATACCAAATGTAGCCGTCATATTGGGATCCAAACGACGACGTGGACCTGTATAGGCTACTTTTGTCATCAGTCATTAAAATATTCAAATGCGAAACTTGGAAAAAAATTTCGGTGAATAATGTAGCTAAAATCATCAATATAGGAAGGTACTTTTGTGTGGGGAATGCATCAAAATGTGAATCTGCACAGACAATTTTCTGTCTTAGGCTGAAATATGAAACAATTCCGATGAATAATGTCGCTAGAATACACAAAATACCAAATATAGGGAGGGTACCATTATATGGGGGCTATACGAAGACGTGGACCTGCTTACGAAATTTTCCGTCATAGGCAGTAGTATTCATTACGAACTTCAAATACCAAAATTTGAAACAATTCCGGAGAATAATGTAGCTAAAATCATCAAAATATCGAATATCGGTAGATACCATTATATGGGGGGCTATACGAAGACGTGGACCTACTTACGAAATTCTCCGTCATAGGCAGTAGTATTCATTACGAACTTCAAATACCAAAATTTGAAACAATTCCGGAGAATAATGTAGCTAAAATCATCAAAATATCGAATATCGGTAGATACCATTATATGGGGGGCTATACGAAGACGTGGACCTACTTACGAAATTCTCCGTCATAGGCAGTAGTATTCATTACGAACTTCAAATACCAAAATTTGAAACAATTCCGGAGAATAATGTAGCTAAAATCATCAAAATATCGAATATCGGTAGGTACCATTATATGGGGGGCTATACGAAGACGTGGACCTGCTTACGAAATTTTCCGTCATAGGCAGTAGTATTCATTACGAACTTCAAATACAAAATTTGAAACAATTCCGGTGAATAATGTCGCTAAAATCATCTAAATACCGAATATAGAAAGGTGCCGTTATATTGGGGGCTATACGAAGACTTGGACCTGCATGGCCCATTTTCAATATAAAAAGTTCTGCAGACATAATATATAATTGAGTAAAATTTTATCTATCTACTTCATTTCGTTCGGAAGCTAGAGTGATTTTCACAGCGGGCAGATGGAGAGACGGACGGATATCGCTAAATCGACATTTTATGCTGATCAAGAATAGATCCACATTGTGGGGTCTAAAATGTATATTTCGAGTTGTTACAAAGGGAGTGACAAACTTAATATACCCTTCATGCTATAGTGGAGTGTATAACAAAACTTCGTTAAAATATTTTCTACGAACAAAAGAATTACAAAAATTAGGAACATCCTTTAAAGGGGTCTTTAGCTAAACGTAAATTAATAAAATGAGGCGGGTTGAACCTTTAAATGTAAGATTTACATTTTGATATAAATATAGAGCAAGTTACATTCCATAAGGCACAAGAAGCAATCGCCCTTTTTAAAAATTTTCGGTCACCCTTCAAAAGCCACGTTCAAAATGTAATATTTAATGTCGCTAAAATACCGGCGGTACTTTAAAACTGAGACAATGCTTCCTTCTTAAAAAAAAAAAAAAAACAAAATAACATTAAGAAACAATTAAAAATAACATTAGTTTCGGTCGAACCAAACTTTTGATATGTTCCATCACGAGGAAGTGAAAAGAAAATATTTCCGAAATCATCCGTTCCGACGGAGTGGACATTCTAAACGAAAGTCACAAATTCAAAAATAGTGTCAATTTCATTGGAAAATTTGATTGAAATAAGATCTCTGGTAGCGTTGGCCTATATCAAACCTAGGATCGAAACATGACATTTCAGACACCTAAATACAGAACCAAAAAGTTGCTACTACTTTTGCCACTTTTGGACATTTTGCCGTTAAGGCGTTAACCTACCTAGTCAAAAAAATTGTCAAATGTGCTCCTGTCTTAAACGGCAATGGCGCTCTTTATTTACAAACTTTTTACACCAAAAATTTGGCAGATCAAAAGTGGGAATTTGATTTTTTTTTTTCTATGTCGCGGGGTATCTGGTGTTTCAAATCCAAATTAAAATTCAGAACTTAGTTGTATATTAAATCGTCTTCAATTTTTAATTGAAATCAAAATCAAATAACCTACATAAAAATACACATCATTCAACTTTCTTAAATTATTTTCCTCAGCTTTTTGACCCTCCACCATTCTATGGAGGGTATATTAACTTTGTCATTCCCTTTGTAACTCCTCAAAATTGACCCTACAAAG